CATTTGATGGCCCATAATGTATCACAGTTGCTAAACCCTTACAATCAACCCCCATTCCAAATGCAATGGTAGCAAAAATGACACGAACTATGCCATCATTGCAGGAAAATGATTTCATAACAAAATCTTTGACTTGTTGATCTGTGTCACTATGGAACATTGCAATGAGTCTAGTTTGAAAGTACCTTTTCCCATCTTCTGTATTAATGTGAGCTTTCTCCTTTAATGCATTTAACAATGTAGAATAACATTTGTTAACAGTTTTGTGGTTTCTGCAAAACACAAGGTACTTTGTTGATTTCTGTCCATGCTCTTTTAGTTCATTTATCAACCATTTAAAATTTTCTTTCACATTTTTACATTTAACTTTCATTACTGCATATCTAATATTGTTTCTGTCTGGATATCTTCCAATATACTCATAATTAATCATTGACAAGGATTTTTTTATTACACCTTCAACTTGCTTTGATGCAGTAGCAGTGAGGGCCACAAATGGAACTGGACTTAGCAAAGAATGCATCTCTGGTAATTTACCATAACATTCTCGGAATGCATAGCTTGACTTTTTATTTATACCCCTGTTAATAAAAAACAAATAACATTTAAAAAAATAAAAAGAATTTCTACAAATATATTAAGTATGGGTATTAAAATGTATAATAGGTCCTGCTTTGGGCAATATATAACTTGGGTTCCTCATGGTTTCCATTGTTTGGTGCTAATTAGGTGCTAGGGGGGCTTTCTCCCCATAGAAATTGTACTGTACATCAAATCAGGCAAAATTGTGTTCATATGGGGAAAACATTATTCTGGTCACCGAGATCTCGTCTGTCAACAAGCAAGATCTCGGTACATGGGAAAACTTTTTGTCTCATATGAACGCAGTGTCACTTTCATATTGTTTTCATAATAAGGCGAGATGTCCCTTGCAAGTTTGCCAAAAAATTTCCTTGCTAACCAGAATAACTTTTCCCCACATGAACAGGCCCTTATATTGCCCCTTCATTTGGACGGCAATGAACAATCTGCCAATCATAAATTATGTATAGCCAAATGGAATTGTTGTTCTAATTTCATCTAATGCTAGACAATTTAAAATGCCAAAGGAGCTAATTATTGCTTTAATAGTTATTTAATATTAAAGGATTCATGTAATTGTTTTTTATCAATTGTTTATATTTTTACTCAACACCAGCATTACAATACCAATAAATATGAAACTTTTTGCATGCTGTCTAATTGACAGTTTTGGTAAAACATAATTTTTGCACTAACCATTCAGCCACGCAGTGACTCTCGTCAATGAATACTCCAACAAACATTAATTTTTTCTTTATACATCTTTGACTTTAACATCTGCCTCGATTCGGTCGAAAGAAACGCCTCTGAACTGCCAAATATATAAGTAAACTTGCCGTTCAATAGTTCTTGTTTGGTTAGAGCATCCTTCGCTTCAGCCAAATTGATGGCGCGGTGATACTAAAATGCTCAAGTTTGGCTATCTGATCTTTCATCAAAGAGATCAGAGGAGAAACAATAAGGACGATGTTATTCGTTTTTATACCTTTAGGATGTCTTTCGATTTTACGAGCTTGACAAAAATTCAAAGCAAACGGGAACAACTGGTTGCTGACTTGGTTGCTGACTTGCTGTATCCCCTCCCCCCCGGATAGCGTATAGCCAATAAACGAAAAATTTTAACCCTGGCGTAAACTTCTGGTACCGGATGTTGCATTGTCTGCCACCGGAACTGCCAGATGTTACAAGTCTCTCTTTCCTCCTCTCCCCTCAGCGGTACGTCATGTAACGTACAATATAGATGTACAATATAGATGTACAATATATAGATGTACAATATAGTGGGGTCTCCACAAAGAGAGATTTGGAGCAAGTCTATGTGATTACCTATATACTTATATAGCATTGACATTTATATTACAGTGAACTATAATTGCTGATGTTTTTTTTATTATTGTACATTATATTTGATATATTTTTTTTTCAATTTTTTAATATTTTTGGTATCCCCCCCCCCCCTAAGTGGTTAATAAATTTTTGGTGGTCCCCCAAATATCTTCCGCCCCCCTCCCCCAGCATTAATAACGACTGCTCCCTAAAATACGCAATATTTTCGGACTGCAACAGGAAACCAACTAAAATACTTAAAATGATTCGAATCATACGATCTCACTTGACTTTCAAAGGCCATAAGGGAAAGTACATTTATTATGCCGAGGGGAGGGAGATGAAAATATTAAGGGGGGCACCGAAATATTTTCTGGCATTAAAGGGGAGGCTCTGAAAGTTCTCAATATACTAAAGGGGCGGGGGCTCTAAACTTTTCAAAGTTTTGGTCCAGCAGGGGCCCTCTAGTGTGAAATTCAGGTAAAAATCATGTAAAATTTAAATTAAATAATTTTGACAATTTCAGGTAAAATTTGCGTAATAAAGTAATTATTTTTGTGAAATGATAACCATTTTTGTAAAATACAGTCAATTTACATGCAATTTGTTTGCGAATTTGCTTTAGAAAATGCCAGAAATTCACTCCTAGGGCTTCAAAAATGTAAAAATTATCTGGGGGAGGACCCCAAGACCCCCCTTTTCTCCCAAAACTTAGTATGATAATTTGTCCCATGATTGTAACTAAATAGTATCTAATTTACATCTAGGTGTGTGGATATCTAAGTATCTTCGTTTTGATATTATGTGTGTGTCGTTGTTATTATATTATTTTCCTTATTATATGTCTGCTCACTATTCTACCTCATATATATTTAGATAACTTATTCTTTAATATTTGACTTGAGGTAGTCTAGCAATTAAAGTGCCTATATCAGGGTCAGGGAAATGATTTTTCCTGATAGTTTAGATGAGTTTAAGAACATTTGCAATATATTTGACAAGACGAAAATTTGATCTTCATGGACTTTTTGGGCCTCAAAGTTGCGGATTTTGGCAAATTTTTGTGTTTGACCGTGAGATACAATTACTGGTAACTAGTTGTGTTGTGAGGCGGAAGTGACGTAGGAATGAGAAGACATGCTTTCAGAACAACAGGACATTTATGCACTTGTCAATTGTAACCCCCACCCCCCCCCCCAACCTCGGGATATGGAGGGGGAATGTGGGGGATTTTTCCCGTTTTGAAACATTGTTAAGCCCGTGTTGGTGGTGGTTTTTCTCGTTATGGATCCCTGACCTCAGAAACGGCCGAGTAACCAAAAAAGCGCCTGGGCACGAGCTCGCATTTATGGAGTTATGCATAAATTATGCAATTAATTATGATGCCTTTACTGTTTCTCATTTCAATTTAATTTAATTTATTAGCTTTGCCTTGTAGATAACTATATTACAATTAATGGCAGGGAGTCCGTAACAGCACTTAGCCAATTACTACGGCCCCGTAAAACTAACATTAAAACTAATATTACAAATTTAACAAATACAATAATCAACTAACAACAAACAGCATATGAAAATAACAACAATACGTCTTTCACATGCAGCACGAGATTGGAATACTAAGACTACGAACAGAGTTACACTTTGGACAAATGGTTTTGTACGAACGAGGGTCGTTGACATTGAAACAAGTTCTTAATGACATAGAGTAATAATTAAAAATGACAGTTTTAAATGTAGAGAAACCACATGTGTCCAGTTTTAGTTGATCGGCGAGGAGGTTCCAGATCCGAGTTGATCGGATAAAGAAGGATCGTTGATAGGTGGATGTCTTGCATTTCGGAATGACATATTTGGTGGAAGTACTGGTGGAAGATCTAGTTTGTCTGGAGGTGCGGATTGTTGGAAGGAGAGATTCATTTATGTCTACGAGTCCGTGGGTAATCTTGTAAAAGAGAACCATGTCAAGGTACTCATGCCAATAACAGATTGGTAGGAGCGATAGAGCCTGGAGCCTGGTGGTATAGTCCATGGTACTGGAAAATGGTAACTGGAGGATGAATCTAGTTGCTCTTCTCTGTGTGCGCTCGACTTGTTTCAACAGTTCAACGGACTGTGGAGCCCATATTTGTGTTGCATACCCTAGGTGTGGTCTTACAAGGGCCAGATACAGCGTGCGCCGGACTGAGGTGTTGTGGATATACAGAGATGATCTTCGGATGTATCCAAGTAACTTGTTTGCTTTGGTCGATTGTTCGTTAACTTGTTTGTTCCACGTAAGTTTGTTCTCCACCCACACGCCGAGATCTCGTTCACTGTCAGTTTGTTGTATGTTTAGGGTGTTAAGTTTGTAGTTGTTCGTGATTGGCATGGTTTTTCTCGTGATTCGTTGTGATTTACACTTTTTCTCGTTGAAAGGGAGGCCAGACGCTAATGACCATGTTTGCAAATTGGCAAATTTCGAGCCGATACACTGGATACAGTTCTCAAATTTTGTCGTACAACGTTTTTATAGACCATCGTTCTTTTAATAAAGTTTTCTTTTTCACATTATACCATTTAATAATATAAAAGGTAAAGAATATAAAGTATCTGTGAAATTTTTTGCACTTTATCATTGAAATACTGTCAAATTTGTTTGGGTCATGACCTCTTAATTTTAATATTTGCATACATGTATAAATCTTTTTTAATATTAAAATACTCGCAACAGTGCATCATCATCACGAAGAAAAGTAAATTGAAATATTCATGAAACCTGTGAAGGTGTGGTCTTCGGACCGGAAGCAGAAAAAGTTCCAGATGGACAATGGTTGTGTCCAATGTGTTCAAACATGCTAACCAGCTAACATTGTTAATATTGAATTTTTATAATTAACTAATTTGGTAATTTGTATGCCTAGTATATGGCATGGATATTTATATAAATGGGTAAGAAACTAATAGTGGTTGGTTTAGGTGGCGTTACTGACGTATACGTATTAAAACAACCTTGTTGAAACCTTGTTGACAATCATGCCGTCACAAAATATCTAAGAATCTCACGTTTTTACACCAATACAGTTAAAATTGATAGTCAAACAACCTATGAACATTTACAATACAATATCTGGATATTATTACTCTTTTTGGACGCCATTTTCTTCACAAAAAGATGTAAAAAATTCAAAACAATGTATACACTTCGATTCTCAATACAGCTACTTAAACTCGAAAAAATGGAAGATCGGCAAAAACTTCAGAATCTAAACCTGAACAGAAACCAAAGACTTGTGATGTCACGAGACGCAACCTAGGTTCAAACTGCTGACGTCATCAGTTTCCTATCCATTT